AAGTGTAAGAGTTGTGCTTTCAAAAATATTCTTTGAAAAGCAGTTTAGAGAACCGGAGAGATGGCTCAGCAGTTTAGCACACTCGTTTTTGCAGAGGACCAAATTTGATCTCCCGTGCTCACATGACAGCTCACAATCATCTGTAATTCCTGTTTCGGGGATCAGATGCTCTCTTCTGAGTTCTGCGAGTACCAGGCATATGAGCATGCAGGCAAAAGAGTCACACACATAAGATAAATTTAAAAAAAATAAAGAAAATCAATTTAAAAACATTTTTCTCAGAAACTTCTGACAGAGCCAGAGACACAGCGATACCAATTTCTGCTGAGTCTGGAGAGTGCCTTCCTGCTGAAGAGAAGGCAACAGGGCACCACAGACAGAAGCTTGAGGGGTAGGAGCCAGCACATCCTACCTCAGAACTATGACTGTTCCTTCTGGTCAGGCTCGTGTTTGTGATGAAGCTGAGTTCATTTACCTTCAGCTACTGTGGGAAGGTTCTGGCACCCAGAGGCTCGGTGATCTCAGCTGACGCCCCCCCCCCATTGCTAACCTGTGTGTGTCAAACACTGTTTCTGCCACACCGGCTCCCCACACTCATGCACAAAGCATGTTGGAAAAGCAAGATTTTGATAGTGATGTTTTTATTTGGAGACCATTCAGCCTGATTTGTTTTAAAGTGCTTCATCCTCCTACAGAAAATCTTTATTAGTAACAAACTCTAGACCAAGGTGACCCAGTATATTAGGTATTGATGCTGAGAGTCAGTACAAGCATCATTATGCCAAAACTCCACCCCGGGGCTTTCTCTTAACTTTTTCTTTCTTTCATTCAATTTGTGGTAATTTTTCTAATTGATATAGCCCTAACTATAGAAAAATGAAAAACCTTTTTCGCTACTAAGTAGCGCCAGTTTGTGTGCATGGTGTCTGTGTGCGTGGTCCATGTACTGCCTGTGCCTGTGTTGGAGCACACGGAGGCCAGGGCAGGACACGGAGTTTCTCTATCATTCTCTGCCATTACCTTGAGACAGGGTATCTCACAGGACCAGAGCTCTCCGAATCTGTCTCCACTCCTCAGTGCTGTGTAACAGGTATGAATAGATATACCTGTCTTTTTACCTGGATGCTAGGGATTCAGACACAGATCCTTAGGACAGCAAAACAAACCCTCTTAATCCCGGAACTATCTCCCCAGCCTCAGCAACATCAGCTTCAAACGCAAACATTTAACTGGAACCCAGTGCCTTTCTGACCACAGAGCCCTGTGTGCTCCCACATCACGCACCCAGGAAGCTGGTTCTACAATAGTTTCTTTACCGCCACACTGGACCCCACAGTGTTGGACTCACCCTGCCCCTTCCTATTGAGTGAAGGTCCCCAAGGTATATTGTCCCTCTGTCTGAAACAAGATGTTGTTCCAGTAGACTTGTAACTCCTCTTTCTCCTCCTGCATTCTCTGCACGGCCTTCACATGCTTAGGCGGGCATACCCTGCATGTCCCGCCAGGTCTGAACTCTGCATCTCTTCTTCAGCGCGCATGTGGTACTTACTCCCTGTTCCTCATCTAGGGATGTGGCTATCTGCCGGCGCATTTTCCTAGACTGCAAGTAGCAGTGTGTGGTCTGTAGCTGGGGCTGTGTTCATCACTGCTTCACTGAGGCCTGGTCCTTAGTTCCTGATAAATATTTACTGCATGAATGGATGGATTCTCTATCAAGAAAATGTTTGTGCAACCGGAGCATACGCATCCAGTAAAGAGGCTTGAGAATTAGTGTGATTTGAGTTCTAAGTTATGCCCCCAAAGGGACCAAATTCTCTTTCAGCCTGCATTGGTGAACACTAAGAGGTCCCTGAGCTGGTCCCATTTGTAGTTGGGTCTTCTTTCAAAACAAAGGCTCTTTGATAACACCTGATGTTTTAAGGTACCCAAGTCCTTTGTGTTTCCAGTGTAGTGCAGTGTCAAAGGCTTATTTGATAGGATCACCAGCTTACTGCCACTTTAACAAAATACCTGAAAAAGAAATGGTTTGCTGTGGTTTATTGTGTCAGAGGCTTCAATGCATGGACCTTTTGCCCTGTTGCTCTGGGCCCCAGGTGAGGCTGTGTGGGCCCTTAGCCCTATTGCCTCAGGTCTGAGGTGATACTGAGAATCACAGTGGGGGCACCAGGTAGAACAAAGCTGTTCTTATGACAGCCAGAGAGGACAAGAGGAAAAAGGGAAGGCTCCCGCTGACCTGCTGATGACCTGGTGATGGTGGATCGTCAATCCCTCCACCACGTTACTGCCACACCTCTGACCGCTGCTGCATGGGGAATCAGGCCTGCAATAAATGAGTCTTGGGAGGGTGGGGTCACTTCATATCCAAATTATAACAGTTGGTCCTCCAAAATGCTAGTGTCACTGAATTACACTGAACTAAGCAAGATGGAAATGCATGACCCAAAAGTTTACTTCTCCTGGGTCTCCTCTGTGTCCTTTCCCTCCCCCTCCCCTTTTGCTTCTTAAGGATTGCTGAGTCTTGTGAACTACTTTGGTTGTGATCAGATGTTCCCAGCAGAAAATTACCCTCATCTATTTTAGGTCTAGGTTGGCTCTTCAGAATGAAATGGTCTGATTAGCCTTATAATCATGGTGGTGGTTGGGCACTTCAGAGAATGCTCCGCAACCAGTTTGAGTACATTGGTAACATTGTCACAGAGGTCCTGATCTTGGGATGGAATCACAGGGCACACAAGCTAATTCAGAGCAGGAATTAAACTCAAGGATCAGATAAAACCTGTTCTTCTGCCCTAAAGGCTACAGAGTTACCCTTGTCAGAATGGGCCATGCTGAGGTGCCCAGTGAACCTTGGACAGCAGCCGTTAATGGGAGCCTATGTTCCTGTTAGAACCTGCCCCACAACCCATTCTCCCCATTACTGTATATCTATATTTGAGAAATAACCAGGAAGGGAGGTAGTGAAAGTGGAATGTTCATAATGAAATTGAAGATCAAAGAAATAATCAGAAAAGCAGAAGCCCACAGGTAATATTGGTATTGATTGAACATCTTAGAAAACATTGTTAGAAAGAGATCAGGGCATGCTGCCTCTATGGAAAATGCAGGACTCAGCTCAGCCATACTTGGATTAGAATATGAATCATTCCCAGAGGCATCCCTGGGGGGCTCTGTAGACATCTTAGTATTCTTTGGAGATAGAGTGGTATAGGAGAATGCATGTGGGTTTACAAGTCAGCCATACCTGCATTTAATGCCCAAGTTTACCTTAGTGACATTGAGCAAGTAACCTCATTATCTTCCTCTTCTCTCTCCTCCTCTCCCTCCTCCTCTTCTCCTTCCTCCTTCTCTTCTCCCTCCTTGTACTTCTTTGTGTAATTCATATAAGTTTGAGTCATGAAGGCCTATAATCTCACATTTAGAAGGCTAGGGTAGGAGGATTGTGAGTTCCAGACCATCCTGGACTAAATCGTAGGACCCACGCTCAACAACAGAAGGACAATCATGATTTGTATAAACTTGTATAGAACAGTTGCCTTGTCAGTTTGTCATGAAGGTCAAATAAGATTGCCTAGATACAAAGGTCATTTCCCAAAGCAGGCGTGCAATCAATTATATTATTCCTTTGCCTCGAAATTTCAGCACCTAGCAACAGCTGGACAGGGTCTGGGCTAGAGTAGTGAGACAAGGCAGTGCCTCTGCCACCCTGAGAGCAAATTCTCCTAGGCACATCCCAGGCAGTTCACATGCCTCTCCCTGGTCCAGGTGTATACCTGAAGCAATGTCAGACCAAGGGTGAGGCATCTCAGAATAGATGTCCTTCTCCCTGACACCATTCCCGGAACCACCTTACTGATGACATACCTAAAACCCAGAGAAGCACTGTCACTTGTCTTAAACCTGCCATTTGTACATAGCACACTTGAAATTTGAACCCATATATATTGGTTCTATACTTTAGTAGCCTTCAGTTGGGCTTCCCTACCCGTCTCAAGTGCTAGCATACCCCTATGTGCCGTAAGTGGCCTCTGGATAGCTGGGCACCGTTCCCTGACGCCTGCAAGTGCTCTCAATACCATAAGAGGACACGTCTCAAATTTTCAGCACATCTCAAAACATTTACTACAGGGCCTGCTTTATAGTCAGAGTTCAAGAAATAAATATTCACAAACAGAGGGGGAAAAGGAGATTCTTGTGATCTTATAATTTTAATGCCGAGAAACAGTTATAATAAACATCAACCCAGCTGAAGGGGCAAAATGCATTAATTTCACAACATGTCTGCTCTTTAAGAAGTTAGCTGTTCAAGCTCCATGGGGAATCTTGGACTCACAGAGACTCACTCCCACTGTTTCAAAAGAGAAAATTGCCAACCCCCACTGTGAGAGGGGGTAGAGAGACATAATGGAGGCTGGAGGAGGGATTCAGCTGCAGCAATATGCTGTGAGTAAACCAGAGTGAAGGACCCAGAAAAGCAATGCTCATGCTTAAGATGAATGAAGGCTCTTGCACAGGTCTGGCAGGACCTAGGACCCTGTTCCTAAGCATCTTCTCATCACCAACGCTGCCAGCCCACAGAACACACTTTCAAGCGTTGAAGACGTTGCCACAAGACAATAGACTGGGCACATCTCTGGCCTTCGATTCTTTCTATCAACGTTCCTTTGTCTTTCAACTGTTAGCAAGTTGCTTAATCCCAGACTGGGCACAAAGCAAGGGAAAATCTTCCAGGGAGGCTAGAAACTGGGAAAAACCACTCCTCATACAAAGACGACACAAGCTCCTGCTGGGTGACATCCCCATGCAGGTAACACTTTCATATTTTTTTTTCTTGATGAAATGAACATGTAGGGCTGATCTCCAGAGATTGAGTCGAGAGGATTCTGAGTGTATGGAGGAAATTAGGTAGAAGTTTGGGCCTTGTAAATCTGGCCCAGCAGAGGCACTGTCTTCAGCCTGGAGATTACCGACACTCCTCCTCACTGTACTCTCTCCTTCTGCAGGGGAAATCTGTGCATTCAAGATCCACGGGCAGGAGCTGCCCTTTGAGGCTGTGGTGCTCAATAAGACATCTGGAGAAGGCCGGCTCCGTGCCAAGAGTCCCATCGACTGTGAGCTACAGAAGGAGTACACATTCATCATCCAGGCCTATGACTGTGGTGTGGGGCCCCGGGAGGCAGCCTGGAAGAAGTCACACAAGTGAGCTCCATCTCCCCCTTCCACCCTGGGCTACCCACCTCCATTTATTCTGTTTATAAACTGTTCTTTAAATACATCCATCTAGGGGGTCACACCAAAGGTATGGCTAGAAGGTGGTTTAAAACTTCCAATTCCATTAGGATCACTTTGACTAGGATCTGGTGATTGGTGGTGGAGGAGGGGGCTGGTGTTATAACTGACCGTATTAGAAAGACTCAGATGTGGCCGAGGTGATGCTGAGTGCCCCCAGAGCATCTGCACAGCTCGTTTCTATCCTGGGAATGTTCTACCTGCTCTTCTTCTCCGGAAGAGACTCCAAGGCCACATCCAAGACCAAGTGAAAGCATTGATGCTCCGGGAATCATTCCCTAAGCCCAGCCCTCAGCTCATAGCCAGTCTAAAGCTTTCATTGCTGCGAAGCTCTTCGTTTCTCTCTATCACACATGCCTCACCATGAGTCAACTCTGCTCTCTCCGTGTGGAGTTTGGCTCAGAGTATAGCATAATGGAAGAGCTGTTTGACTCCTTACTGAGTGGGGGGTTGCGGGAATACATAAAGGGAATGGGGAAAAGGGAGAAGATGGCGAGGGGATATGTAGCCTGAAGTAGGCAATAGGGAATGATAACGGATGGAGAGGATCCTCCAGGGCAGAGTTGCTCAGCATCAAGGCGAGAGCAGGTAGATAGTTGGTTCCCAGAGGAAGGGAAGACAGAGGCACCCATGCACCCACTGCCCCAGTTGAGAGCCTTGAGGCCTCTGCAGTCACACGACCTTGGGTTGGATCAATGTCCCACAACACATGGTGTGATTCCTTCTTTACCATCATTTCTCCTTTCTGACTTGTGCTCCAGGGCTGTGGTCCACATCCAGGTGAAGGATGTCAATGAGTTTGCTCCCACCTTCAAAGAGCCAGCCTACAAGGCCATTGTCACGGAGGGCAAGATCTACGACAGCATCCTGCAGGTGGAAGCCATCGATGAAGACTGCTCCCCCCAGTACAGCCAGATCTGCAACTATGAAATTGTCACAACAGATGTGCCTTTTGCCATTGACAGAAACGGTGAGTGTCCTGGGGAAGATTCTAGTACAGTCAGGAAAACAAACTCACTGGCCCCGCTCTCGAGGCCAGGTACTTGACAGTGGTACCTCCGTTGAAACCTTTTATCTAGGCATCATGACCCAATTATGCTCTTGATGATGGTTCATTTATAATTAGAACCTTGCTAAGTCTAAACTACTTCCAGGAAATCCAAGAAACTCAATGAATATGTCTGGAGAACTCATAATCATACATAATGTATACAAAATGAAGATGGTTTCTGGAAGAGTTATTTAATTATTATTCAGGTGTGAGCCTCATCATCACCTTGGCCACATCTGGGTCCCTTTCAATATTATCAGTTATAACATGAGCCCCAGCTCCCCCAGTCACCACTACAACAACCTGCTTTCTGCATCCAGGCAAAGCGATACTAACAGAATTGGGAATTTAAAATCACCTCCCAACCATAACTTTGCTAAGGAATCTTTAAAATTCTTGCCAACCTCCCCTTTGAGAATTTCAACCATAGCAGAGCCTTCCTCCCAGCTTGAATTGCTCTGAAAATGATTCCATAAAACCATTTGGATATTTCCCATCACCATTAATATGAATCTTATTATAGCGTACACACAGCCAGAGGTCCAATCAACTCAATCCACTTGGACTATAACTTGATTGTAATGAAATGGTACTATTTCTCGAGTACATAGCTCAGATATAGTATGAATTGCGTGGGTATCTATAGATTATCCCCACTTTCTTTCAGATATCCTTTAAGTAGCACAGAAGGATGCTAAAGTTGCAAGACCTGCATCATTCTGTAACCAAGTGATAGGTTCCATGATGGGCTCAGAATGGAGCTAGAACAGAACTCAAGGTAGGCAGGTCCGCCCTCATGGAGCTCATCAAGTAACGAGGGAGGAAAAACGAAAGCGAATCAAGGGGGCATGAAGAGTGGAATTATGTATGAAGCATGCTGGGACCTGGAGTGAAACTGTGAATTAGACTTGAGAATCTCACTCGTCAACATATACAGGAGGGAACAAATTAACCATGGGCTCCTGGCTCTTCTGGAATGCTTCATGGTATTGAGACTTCAAGGCAGCTTGCTCTGTAGTGTAATCTGCATCCCAAGAACAATACCAGAGTCCATAGAGGAAGGGAACACCTTCATCCCCGCTTTCAAGGAACTTACCAGATGACCTACCTGACTGTAATGACAGAAGGCTAAAAGCCATGGGACTGGGAGCTCCACATCTGCACATCATTAAATGCTCATTGTGCGAGGCAGGAGAATGGCGCATAGGAAAAAGAAGATAGGATACTAGAGTGAAGCTAAGTTCTGTTTGTAACAACTTCCAGAACCACTCCCTCCAGCAAGCCAAGCCTTGTGAAAGGCTGGCCTGTACCCATCACACGCTCTAGGTTGCTGTTCCCCCGTCATCATGAGGCAGTCTGTTCCCACAAAAGCTTTGGAATCTGGGATATGACAAGAATGGTAAATAGCGAGACAGCCGAGTGGTGACATCTGTGATTAGTGGTCAAGCTCCACTTGGCCTCCTGGTCCTGGCTCTCAAAAGCTCCCGAGGAAGGATGAGATGCACATTCTTTCATCTGAGGGTAAACGGCCCCAGTCATGGGGATAATTACTCACCTTGATGAGCCATTTTGCTAACATATGCCAATTTCTTTCCCTGGCTGTCTCATTAAAAGTGAGCAATGGGCCTTTGCCAGGCCTCGGCCTCCAATTTTGGTTTACAATCTAAGATGGTGAGGAGAGTTGGCACTCCTAGGGTATGCGGGCTCCCAACTGAGAAGCTTACAAAAGCCGCTCTCAAGTAATGAAGACAGGACCTAGGCAGCTCCCATTCTCACGAGCCTCCCAGTGGGCTCCTCCCCATCACGTCCGTGGCGACCTTCTTAGCTTCTTGAAGCTCTTTGCATATGAGCATGTCGGGGAAAGTGCTGCTGAATCTCAGGCGCCTTCCTTGGCCACGGGGTTCTCCATAATCTTCATCCCACAGCTAAAGTAGATGTTCCTGGTTCTTCAACTTGCCAGGCTCTTTGCCTATGGGTGGGGTGGAGGGCGGTGAGATACAGCGGTCGGAAGGGCAAGAGACACCAGATGGAGTCTGAATGATCTCCTGTACCTACCCACCCAACCTCTTTCACCTGTAACCCCTTGACCTCCTTGGCAGTATCAGTTCCATACTCATTGTGGGGTTCTGCAGCCGTGGGTGGGGGTGCTGAGAGTCCTCACCGCGTAAGTAGTGCTGAGACCTGCTGCTGTTCATGGTTATTAGATATTTGTTCCTGTGACTGCGGTTTAGTTACTCCCCATGAAATCTGGACTGAGATGACGATCATATAACTATTAAGTTTTTGCCACCGTCTTGGAAAGTTCTAGATCTATATCCGGTGGTATACAGGCTCCATGTTCTAGCTCTAGGCCAGCCTCTCTGGGATAAGCAGAACCTGGATCCCTAGTTTCATTAGACAAGTAGAGAAATTGAGCCCTAAGGCAGGGAGACTTTCCTAATACATTGTCATACTGTTGGCCCTTGGGGCTTCCCACTACAAACCTCTTCCTGGGTGATAATAGAAAGGAATAAATGGCGTAGGAGTTTAGGTTCATAAACACAGGGAGGGGTAAGTTCAGCAAGAGGCAAGGAAGGGAGTCCCAGGTTTCTTTCCCCCTCCCAAACAAAGAACAAGTTCAAAGCCATGCACAAACGAAAGAAGCTAGTCTAGGACAACTTGGGACTGAATTAAGAAATTACAAGACAATAAAAGAAATATTGAGAATAACTTCTCAAAAATTGGGTAATAACACCAGTGTCATTTTACCAGCATTATCCCATCCCCCAGACAAGCAATGCCAGCATAGGGTGGATTCCCTTGCTTGCAAATTCCTCTCACAGTAAAAAGGTAGAGCATGCTGAACAGCCAGCTTCCCCAGTCCTTCAGAACAGTTCCCACCTGACTTACCTCAGCCTCATTCCCACCCAGATCACTGGGGCTAATATGACCAAGATATAGGGCAGCATCAGGAAACAAATTAGATGGCCAGGGCTCTCAGTATCAGCCATGTAGCAGAAATCGCCACGGTCTCCAGTGGCCTTCTCTGGAGAGAACACCAGCAGCCTTCACAGGGCACCTCCACCACCCTCTTGGTCACTTCTGCTCAGCCCCTGTATCTTTCACTACCGTGCACCCTGCAGTGTTCAGCCTGGTGGATCACAGCACCACCCACCACATAGGAATCCAGCAAAAGCCCAGAAGAAATAGACCCCACCTCTTTTACCACTAAGGAATAAAGAACCCATCGTTTTCCACTTTTTCAGCCTCCAGGCGTTTGAGCCATTACTCCTCTTCTTCCTCTCTCGAGGATTCATCCTCCAGGGGCACCCAACCAGACCCCAGTGCATCCAGTGACTCACAAACAAACGACCACGTCATATGTATTTGTAACTAATCCATTGGCCATGCTCCCACGGGCAGCTAGCCTCAACTCCTGTTATCAGGGACCCTCAGCTAAGCATACACCTGCAGCCATCTCATGTTGTCATGTGCCTTCCTGACAGCTCTAACTCTCATCACAAAACCCTATTGTCATGTTCACTCCTACATCTGGACCCCTAGCCGTAAGTATGTGCATGGTCAGCTCTGATGCCTCTCTCTATAGGTGTCTATGTGGCCACTAACTCTGTCCTTGATACTGACTGGCTCTTGTGTTCACAGCCAACCCTTGTAGCTACACAGATGTACACAACCAACCCCAGCTGCAGCACTCCATCACTTTCACCAACACTGTGTGTGCGTTCATAGCTAGTTCCTGCATTTACCTGCATTCGTACTAGCAATTCAAGCCCTATTGTTGCTGTATATAGAAAATTAGCCTAATCTCTGTAGCTGGCTCCCATGAACCAAATGCGTACACAAAGCCAGTCTTTATATGTACACATTACCAGCCCTATGCTTGTAAACACACACTATTTGTATATCCACAGTTGGCCCTGCCCCATCCTTGTCACCATGTCGCTCCTTGCATCCAGTTAGATGTTCAACAATGGTCTCAAAATCTGCTGTGTCAGGTTCTTGTCATAGCTACCACTGAGGATACCAAGATGCCCCTTTGCCACCATATTCCTTGCTGTTTTAAGGGCCACATGTTAAGGATGTTGCAAACCCCAAAGTCCTGAGCCAAGACCACATGCTCTTCCTTTCACCCCTGGAACCACCTGCTGAACACTATGCATGGTCCCACAGTTTATCCTCAACTCACATAGGGAAAGCATTTGATTTCTGAGACCGTTCCCAAAAGTCGAGAAAAGATGGCCGTTTCTTGAAATGCACAGGCAATACTGAAGACTGCAAGAGTCATCCCTACCACCCACACGTAATATCAGTTCCAGGGGAACTGATGCCCTCTTCTGGCCTCTGCAGGCAACAAGCATGCATGTGGTACATGCAGGCAAAACACACACTGAGATAAAAGAGAAAATAATTTAAATTCTTAAAAAAAACTTACAATCTGGGGGAGAATGAAGTAATATATTGAAAGAGATAAAACAACAATAACAAAACCCCTGCTAACAAAGGAGGCTTTACCTGGCAAAGCCACCCTTCAAAATCAAAAGAGATGACACTCCAAGATGAGCAAGAATAAAGACAGTTCATTACCACTAGACTCATTTTACAAGAAATGATAAGTCACTCCTTGAGCTGAAGCAAGACTAGGCCATTTAATAATATCAAAACATGAAAGTCTTTGGTACCAGTAAGTACATATCAAATTTACAATATTCTGATAGTAGGTAAATTTGTTTACAAGTAAAGGCAAAAATATTAGGAATGGGTGCAGCTAAGATAATATACCAATAAATACAAAAGCAGACAAACTGTGACATTCAAAACACACATTTGAAGAGAGGTGATACAGAGCTTTCACTGAAGTTAAGCTACTGTCAGCTTTAAAAAGACCAGTATAACTATAAGACATTTCATGCAAGCCTCAC